GAAATTGAGAAGAGAAACAAGAATCATGCATATGGGAGTTCTATGTTTCAAAAATACATGAGACTTCCTTCCTTAAACTCAAAACTCATGCAAGAACAAGTGATTGATCATGAATAATGCCATGTATGCCAAGATTTGAAACTATTCTGTACTATTTCTCTCTTTAGGGTTTATAACCTCAACATACTTCACCCAACTTCTTAATCCAACCTAAATTCTACAATTTCATGTGTAAATTAACTCAACTTCAAGAAATTAGGAAAGATTTCTTACCTACAATGGTTGATTTGGGTGAAGATTTGCCCAACTCCTTTCTTCTTCCTTTTCTTATTCTCTTATAAGTCTCTAGAACTCTCTCTCTCTCTCTCTCTCATATTGTTGACTTCCCAATATAACAAAATATCTATCTCTAACATCCTTAACCAATTTTAAGCTTAAATTAAATTAAATCAAATTCACCTAAAACACATTAAAGCTCAATATATTCTAGTTAATAAACTTAGTTATGTTAAGGTAAATTAGACTCTAATTGCTTAATCCAACAATTTAATTTTAACCTCATGGTTTAACGATTCAGACAGGTCTATTTCATATATAATCATATCTGTCAATCATAACATAGTTCAAATAGCACATGGCACACAATTAATACACATATAAGCATATCAGTCACATATAAACACATAATCAAGGTAATTTACAGATTTAACAATTAATTAAGAAGGCAGGTGTTACACTTACGGTCTATGAGGCCTTGAGAAAGGTTGAAAAGTCTACGGATATGCCATCAACACAGCCAACAAAAAATAAATGTAGTTGTATCTAGTCGACAGTATTCATTTGACTTGTCACAAGTAGATGTTTTGCTTGATGAGTTGTTGGCCAACAAGTTTTTAACTTTAACTCCTAGCTATAACATTTCCAAAGAAAGAGATAGAATTGGAAAATAATACTGTAAATAGCACAATTCTTTTAGACATTCAACTAATAATTGTGTTACATTTCAAAATTGTGTACAGGATTAATCCAAAAAATGATACTAAAATATGGTGAGAAAGATAAAGAGGCAATGACAGTTGATAGTAATCCCTTCCCAGAGATGGTAAGCATTAACATGTTGGCTACTAACCCCTAATCGACTGACTAGAAAAAGAAAGGAAGGAACCCTAGAGTTCTCCTGGTAAAACTGGAGAAGCTTCACAAAGAGAGAATAGAAAAGATTGCCAAGAAGACAAAAGGAAAGAAGATTCAAGAAGAGCCTGATGAGAGGTTCATTTGTTTCAAATGTGGCACTAAAACAGAAAGAGCCAAAGCCATTGTGATAGATGGGATTCAAAAAATAGAAAAAGATGTTGATCTCAAGTTCAACACCATAGGTAGTATTAACTTGCAAATATTTGACAATGACTAAATGTTCTATGATAGATCAGACCTAGAAATATTTGGGCCTGTAGAGGATTATGGTAAGGATGATGCTACATTCCTATTTCAAAGGTCTTGTTCATCCATGTTTTGGTGGCTCAAGTAACATTAGGGCATGCTAAGACAGCAAAAAGGATCTAAACCCAATGAAAATCCAAAAATTCTAATAAGGGCATAGATTGGCCAACAATAGCAACAGCTTGGGAAGCCACATAATGGCCAGCAGCAGACTTATAGCGATTCTGGTTTAGACCCGACCCATTTGATGTTCAGGATTCCGGTTTCTTTGTCTTATATGGTTGATCATGTTTTGTTTCTTCTTATTCCTTTTTGAGTTTGGTTATTGGAGTGTCTCAGTTGCATTTGGAATAAGTTGGTAGCTTGTTTTTCAAAATTGTTGCTGCCCAGAATTTTGCCTCTCCGCTCGAGCAGTGATTCCTACGCTCGAGCGGTCTTGTGAACTTCCAGTACTTTTGCAGGTTTGCAGAGATACTGGGAGATAACATTCTTTACTCGAGCGGTCTTTCTTGTGCTCGAGCGATTGTCTTCTGTAGGCCTATTTCCAAATTTTGGAAAGTGGGTTATAATCCACTTCCCAGATTATAACCCACTTCCTCTCTCACAAAAAAGCTGCTTATAAGCAGCTTTTCACCAAAAAGCTGATTATAACCATCTTTCCAAAATAGCCCTAAAACCTCTGAGAGTTAGTATTTTTTGCTCGAGCAATGCCACTTATTATGTCTGGTTGCTTGAGTGACACTTCTTGCGCTCGAGCGATCTGCGTGTATATCAGTTCGTAAAAGTCACTTTTTCATCTCTCTCTTTAAACACTTCAAAACCCTAAGTTTCTCTCTCTAGAACTTACCTTCTCTCTACAAATACACCTCGATCCATTGATTTCTTTACCCTAATCCCTTTGATAAAAAGGTAGGGCTCACCTAGAGCTTCTTTCTAATCGGAACAAAGTTAGATTTCAGCCTCATTATGGTTTCTCCTTTCGCTCTCTTGTCTTCTAAGCTTGAGGTAGAGACATTTTTGCACTTTCTTATGATTTTTAACCTCGTTGTTTGTGTTTTTGAAACAACATTGTGATTTGGGGATTTTTGGACAAATCTAGGGTTTTTATGTGAAATCAAAAAAATTAGACTCTAATTGCTTAATCCAACAATTTAATTTTAACCTCATGGTTTAACGATTCAGACAGGTCTATTTCATATATAATCATATCTGTCAATCATAACATAATTCAAATAGCACATGGCACACAATTAATACACATATAAGCATATCAGTCACATATAAACACATAATCAAGGTAATTTACAGATTTAACAATTAATTAAGAAGGCGGGTGTTACACTTACGGTTTGTGAGACCTTGAGAAAGGTTGAAAAGCCTACGGATATGCCATCAACACAGCCAACAAAAATAAATGTAGTTGTATCTAGTCGACAGTATTCATTCGACTTGTCACAAGTAGACGTTTTGCTTGATGAGTTGTTGGCCAACAAGTTTGAGGTAGAGACATTTTTGCACTTTCTTATGATTTTTAACTTCGTTGTTTGTGTTTTTGAAACAACATTGTGATTTGGGAATTTTTGGACAAATCTAGGGTTTTGATGTGAAATCAAAAAGAGGGTTTTTCAAATGAGTTGTTAGAAATGATAAAGGAAATGTATTTATTGTAGAGTTATGACGAAAAGATGGATTTTTATCCTTGGGATTGATTTATAAAGAAAAAAGGGATTTTACCCTAAATTTATCGAATGTTAATTTTGTATAGATAAATGGAATTAATGTTGAATTTGTGAAATTGGATTGACGTTGATAAGGATGAACGGAGTTAGATATGTATTATCATTCACATCTTGAGATTTTGGAAAGTATAACCTTATTGGAAATTTATTTATCTATTTAGAGATATCTATTTTGTGCTATTGGTAGAGGATAGGTTATGATTGTTGTAGAATTGCATGAGAATTAGGAGAATTAAAACTATTTTTTCATCAATTTGCATTGGGCATTGTTTCATATTTAACACATTGAAAATGTCTATTGTTTTGAGAAAAATAGGTGAATACCTTGGTGAATCTAGGTAGGGGGTATGGTCACAGTATTATGTTGGCCTGTGTGTTCTTAGTGAAAGCCCAAAAACTTGTGCGATTAGGTGTCGAGCCTTTCAGTTAATACCGGTAAAAATGACAAATTTGCAGACACATACCTAAGGATTCCCAGAGTTGTACTCATAGTCCTATTTTCTATTATAAAAGAAATGATTTCTTGAATTGTAATATAGACTTGGCATTGCATGGTTTTGAAAGGAGATATAAAATGTTTTCGGCATAAGCATTGCATATGCGTTCATCTTATATCTTTGTTAAGATTCACAAGCCATGTTAGAGTATTTCTACTGGGCTTTGGCTCACCCTATATGGGAAAACCATTTTCAATTGCTGATGATATGCCTCCGCCAAGAACATAGCTTTGGAGGAACTTGGGAGTTGAAGGCTTCCTTTTGTTTAATTGTTATGTTTATTTTGTTATAAGCCTAAGGCTTTAACAGTATTGAGTTTGGAATCATTTTTATTGTAACCAAGCACTGTCTTGGAAAGTTGTAGCTATTAGGGCATATATTATTTATTTAACTCTTATTTCATATCTTTAACTTGTATCACATGCTATAGATTCAGGGTTAGGACTCATAAATGTATAACTACATGTGACATCTTTTGTACACTTTGATTATATGAAATGAAAATGATATTGTATTCAGAATGGTATTGTTACTTATTAATATTGTGGATGATTTTATCATAATTATTTCGGGGCGTTACAAGACTAGAAGGCCATATGGAGACAAATAACAGTTTGTGAGACCATTTGAAGGACTACAACAGAGTAGTTCAAGGATAAGGCCAGATGTGCAGCCAAGAATAGTGAAACCACTAGTGCCACCTAATTCAGGATAGCATGGGGTTATTTACCCAAAGTTTTCTTCAGGGGGATGGTGATAGATGGGACCCACTAGAACTCAGAAAAGAAGAGAACATAGAAGATTTCATACCATGATGTCTAGAATGGTAGGTGATGGAGGCCCGAGGAACTTGGTTTGGACTAAGGAAGGGTTTGTGCCATCAAAAGCAATAGTGGGATCAACATCGGCGGAGCAAATAGCCCAACCACTTGTGCATATACTAAAAAAACTAATGGTGAACAAAGAAAAGAAAGAAGGAAAAGATTTGCTTGATAAGGCAATGTTGAGGTTGAGATTGAAAGAATTAGAGAAAGAAATAATGTTTGATGATGAGGATGGTATGGTTGATGTAGAAATGAAAGATCAAAAAGGTGCAAAGTCAACTCTAGAGGAAAGTTGTGTTGTTACACGGGAAGATACTAAGTCCGAAAGCTCAAAAGAGTTTAAGGAGAAAATGGAAGCCATTCAGTTTGGTTCTTTGCCTACTTCTAAGGAATGTAATATGATTATGGCCATCCTAAAGAGGTTCCAGGACAAACCAGACCAGCTAGACATGTTGGCGGGTGATGTTGAAGACTAGACAGAACCAATTGTACAAGTAGCAATGACTGAGGTAGAAGTCAAGCCACCAAGATCTATTGAGGTAGTTAAGTCAGTCGATGGAAAAAAAGTGGTGCTGCAGAAACCTGAGGAAAAGCTGATCAAGCGCTTAACGCCATTGTACGTAAGGGCCCATCTAGAAGAAGTCCCAGTTGACAGGGTTTTGATTAACAATGGAGCCATAGTTAACATTCTCGCTTCTAAAACTTTGAGAGCTATAGGCAAGTTAGTAGAGGACTTGTTACCTATTGATATTGATATAGGTAACTTTGTTAGAGGCTCATCTAAGGCAAGGGGAGTTGTTGTTATACATCTTCAGGTTGGTTCAAGGCTAATAGGAACCACCTTTTTTGCAATTGATTCCACTTCTAACTACAATGTGTTGTTAGGAAGAGATTGGATACACCTCAATGGGTGTGTGCTATCCTTTTTGCATCAAACTTTAATATTCTTGACTAACTATGAATAGGATGAACGAAAGGGAATAGAGATCTATTGGGCAAATGCAAATCCATTTGCAATAGATGTCAACAACATAAAGGTTGTGTTGTATGATAAAGAGATATGCCCAATTGAGGTGATTGAAGATGAGGTTAAATCCCAAGGAAAAAGCCTAACTAATGAAGAATTCAAAAGCATCATTGAAGAAGGATTCAAGCAAATGGGCCAGGAATTGGCCAAACCAAGCCTTGGCAGAAAATGAAGGGGGTTGTGATTGACGAAATGACAAAGGGAATAGATGATGTAGATGTAAGCATGTAAAGAAAACAAGCTGGATGAGTCAGCTACAACTCTTGTAATTAAGTCTACTTTTTCTAGGCTTTTTAATTTCTTTTTAGCAAGTAGGTTCAAATTTAAGTCTTTGCCTGATTGTTCATGGGCAGAATGTGTAATAAACAATAGCCTTCTGAGTTATAAGGAGGTGCATTTGGAGCATTTGAGAGTTGCTCCTGCTAAGCTTGATGACCTCAAGGTAGATGTTCAAGATCCCTTGGAGGAATTCAACCTAGGAATTAAGGCCTACAAAAGGACAATCTATGTAAATGATAGCTTATCTAATAAAAGTAAAGGCAAACTGGTTGGTTTGCTATATGAATATGTGGATTGTTTTGCATGGAGTTATGAAGAAATGCTTGGTTTGGATAGAGCACTAGTAGAACACAGGTTACTAATAAGAGACAACATCATTCCACATAAGCAATCTCCAAGAAGAATGACTATTGAAGTAACTTTGTTAGTTAAAGAAGAAATTGAGAGGTTATTAAAGGCATGTTTTATTAGGACAGTCAGGTATGTTGAATAGCTGTCGAATATTGTACCTGTTATGAAAATGGAAAATTGAGAGTATGCATAGATTTCAGGAACTTAAATCTAGCAACTCCAAATGATGAATATCCTATGCTAATAGCTAACTTGTTGGTTGATTTAGCAACCGAAAGCAAGGTCTTGTCATTCATGGATGCGCATGCTGGGTATAATCAAATTTTCGTTGACCCATATGACATCCATAAGACTGCTTTTAGATGTCTTGGAGCCTTAGGCATATTTGAGTGGGTAGCGATGCCTTTTGGCTTGAAAAATGCTGAAGCTACATATCAAAGGGCAATGAATTTCATATTCCCTGATTTAATTGGAAAGTTTCTAGAGGCATGCATTGATGATGTAGTTGTCAAGTCTGATACATTTGAGGAACATCTAACTCATCTAAGGCAGATATTTCAAAGAATGAGAAGTCATCAGTTAAAGATGAACCCTTCGAAGTGTGCCTTTGGGGTGACTGTAGGTAAGTTCTTGGGCTTTTTGGTACATCAAAAAAGTATAGAAGTAGATGCTAATAAAGCCAAGGCTATATTAGAAACCAAACCCCCCTAACAACGAGAAAGAATTATAGAGTTTTCTTGGTAAAATCAATTTCCTAAGAAGGTTTATAGCAAATCTAGCCAGAAAAACTCTAGTATGTTCTTCATTGGTAAAAATAAAGTCCGATTGTGAGTTTATGTAGGAGGAGTGTTGTCACGACCCGAACCTGCCCCTATGGGTTAAGGACGTAACCGGCCAATAATCCTGAGATTACCTACAGCCTCAAACCAAAATAGACATAACTCGACAGAGTAAAGGGGCCAAACGGAAGCAATAATCAAAAACTTTGTCCATAGAGCCATGCTTATATGCACGACAAAACAAACCATACTCATATACGTTAATAACCCACAACAAGTACAGTATCACAAAATCCTATACAGACAAGATCATCCAAACTGAGTCAACCCATATCAAAACTATATACAAATGTACACAAAGTCCTTGCCAACACGACAAACTATAAATACATAACAAAATGGCAAGGATGGGTCTCGTACGTGAGACACAAGACTGACTCTCCAAAATCTCATGTTGTTCCTGGCAGACTTCACTGGGGCTGGGTTTGGACTTCCCTCAGCTCACCTACAAACGCATGAATGAGCGTGAGTGATAGCCCAGTGAATAATATCGAATACATAAATTACATAAGAAATATGAAGAACAACATGCTCCGAACAACCTTAGGCCCAATGCATATTTTTGCTTAACATATATACACTTATACAAAATTCAGATCAAATGACTATAGTCCCAAACATACTGGCCTTTGGCCCAATCAGATTTCCATTCATGTCAAAACGGCCTTCGGGCCATTCATCTATGTCAGAACGGCCTTCGGCCCATTCATTTATGTCAAAATGGCCTTCGGTCCATACATTCGTGTCATAACGACCTTAGGTCCATTCATTTATGTCAAAACGGCCTTCGGCCCACTCATTCGTGTCAAAACGACCTTAGGTCCATTCATTTATGTCAAAACGGCCTTCGGCCCATACATTCGTGCCATAACGACCTTAGGTCCATTCATTTATGTCAAAACGGCCTTCGGCCCACTCATTCATGTCAAAACGACCTTAGGTCCATTCATTTATGTCAAAATGGCCTTCGGCCCACTCATTCATGTCAAAACGACCTTCGGTCCATTCATTTCTATCAAAACGACCTTCGGACCATTCATTTCTATAATGTCAAACTTTTGTCCACAATCCCAATTAGTAACTCATAAAGCTTATAAGGGAAATAACAATTGGACATTGACAAGCTTTCAAATATCGATATTACTCACAGTGATCGGCTTGTGGATTCGCCCTGGAGCTTGACCCTACACATTCCATGAACACAAAAGGGTCATTATCAATTCAACCCGTTCTTCAATTCACATATTCCTCTTTAGGCTTTATTCTTATCTCATTAACTCATTTACAATGCTTAACACATGCCTAAGAGTGCTTACAAATGAAAGAGAACGGAAAACAAAACACATAATGAGCATATAAAATTTCAGAGAACAGGGTCCCCGCTCGAGCGTGGACTCTCCCGCTCGAGCATACCCAAGAGGCCTGCAAAAGTACTGGTTACTTCAAAATTAAGCTCAAGCGTGAGTTAGGGCGCTCGAACGGAAGGCCTGTTTACAAAACTCCCCGCTCGAGCGTGAGATATCCCGCTCGAGCGTACATCCAATTCTGCAAAAAGTGCTAGGAGCACGATTTCTCCACTCAAGCGGCCTTTCTCCTGCTCGAGCGGAAGTCAAAATTCTGGAAATTCCAGGCTGTGTTCTTGAACTTCAAATCGATTTTCCAGCTACATTACTTGCATGCAATGGCTCAAATCTCAAATATAATCATACTATCATGATGCAAACCCCAATTCATAACCCAATGAAGCTCAATTCACAATTAATTCACATGCATGCCCCAATCTCCCGTCAAACTCATTCTAACATAACAAATTCATACATTCAGGCCCATGTCTTCATAATTTGTACATGCATGTGATGAATTAGCCACGTTCTCAACTTAGATGCACAATTGGTGATCAAAACATGAGTTTCAACTACAATTTACATGGATCATACCCCTTTGAGCTCAAAACATGCAATATTCAAGACAATCACACACATGCATGCATAGATAGGTCTCTATTATAACAAATTCAACTCAATTTCCTTATGATCAAACAATTCCATGCTCTAGACCATCTTTCAACCTTGAATTCACAAAATGATAGTTAAAAATTTACATGAACTACTCACCAAGGAGTTTAATCTTCACAATCTATGGCAATTCTTGTGTTATCTTCAAGGCATTCAAGGATCAAGAGCAAAACTTAGATTTTTCTCCCCTCCCTCTCTCTAATAGTCGGCCCTCCTCTTCTCTTAGAGTTGATCAGCCAAAATCAATGTACAGGGAAGAAATTGGTGTTAATAAGGTTTATAATAGCCCATCTCACATATTTTTTCAACATAAAATAATTGGGTACTCGATTCATCAATTAAATCAATTTAATCTGACCTGAATAAATTTTCAATTAAATTTCACCGTAGGCTCTAAAAATTATGCCAATTACAATGGCGTAATCAATTTCGGGTTCCGTGGCCGATAAGGCCTTCAATTTAATTTCCAAAACAGATTATTCAGACAGATATTCCTACGGTGAATAGATAAGACTTCAAATTCACAAATATTCACATAATGGCACATAAAATCACGCTAAACACATAATCATACTCAAATTAAGGACCAATTAGCATACTACGGAACAAGGGTATCACAAGTGTCACCAAAAAGCTTTTGATTTAATCAAGAGTTACTTGGCAAATCCTTCAGTGCTTATGCCACCTACTTCAGGAAAGCCTTTGAAGCTTTACATTTCAGCATGTGACCTGTCGATTGGTTGTTTGCTGCCCAGGAAAGTGACATGGTCCATGAACAAGCCATCTATTACTTAAGCAGGAGGTTGAATGATGCTGAAACTAAGTATACCTCTGTCGAGAAGTTGTGCTTGGCTTTGTACTTTGCTTCCATAAAACTTAGGCATTTTATGTTGCCTTCAGAGGTGTTTGTTATAGCATAAACTAATGTGATAAAATACATGTTATCTGTTTTAAGAGGCAGACAAGGCAAATGGATCCTGTCCTTAATTGAATATTGTTTCAAGTATGTGCAACAGAGAGCAGTAAATGGACACGCTCTAGTAGATTTTCTAGCATAGCATTTATGCTAACTAGTCAAACCTGATCTATTTGAAGTTCATATGATAGAAACTGAGCCCTGGAGGCTAATGTTTGATGGATCTAGAACAGATGAGAAGGTTGGTGCAGGCATTGTCCTGATTTCTCCTGACAAACAAATGTACCAGTTTGCCTATTAGTTATGAGCAACATGTACAATCTTGTAACTGGGTTGAGTATGAGGCCTTGGTAATTGGACTTGAGTTACCTATAGAGTTCAAGATTCAAAGGTTACAAGTGTTTGGTAATTCTCAGTTGGTCATCAAGCAGATTGAGGAAGAGTTTAAACTAGGGTTATGTTTGGGCTTGCGAACAGGCCTAGTTGTCTTACTTAAACCAGGGTTATGTTTGGGCTTTTCAAGTTGTCCAATTGTTTTAAATATTCATTCAAGGCAAAACCCAATTTTACCTCAAATGAGGCGGGGCATTGATGGCACCACAAATTTGAAATCTTCTGTCGACAGAGGCATTATCATATGCAGAAAAGGTCCAAAAGTCAAGGGCATGAAGTTAGTGGCCCAAGGAAAGAGATTGAAGGGGTGACACATGGCAGTTTCAAGAAGAGAGTTCAAGGCAGATGTGGCAGTTACGGCAGTTGCAGATCATGGGCAGATGTGGGAAACTAGCAAATGGGCACGTGGCAGCATAGCATGGCCAGTGAACCATATAAAAGCTGGAAATTCGAAGAAGAAAGGACTTTCAACAAAATTCACAACTCATATGAAATCTAGTAGTGTAACCTATCTAGGAGTAGTTCTTGTAATTAGAAGCAGATTATTTGTAGTTCAGTCCTTGTAACTCAGTTTAGCCATGATGATTGTGATGCTATTGGAACTTGTAATTTGATTCTTGTAATTAAGTGACAAGTTTAAGTATTATCAATAGAATTTTCACTTTGTTTGCACTTGTTTCTTCACACTACAATCTCCAAAGAAGTCTTTGAATCTGTTAAGGCATAGGACACCAACCACATTACTTGATTAAGTTGTTTGTTTGTGAAAATTGATTTCTCTGTCAAATTTTTTCTGTCGATTTAATCAAACCAGATTTTTGCTAACAAGTATTAATAATGATAATAAAATGTGGAGAAGTGGTTTTGGAAATACTCTTCAGATCTTGGGAGATGCTAGTGATCCTCAGCTAGTCACCTGAAAAGACACAAACACTCCGGTCAGGGGTGCCGAAATTAGCACTCCGACAGACAAGTTAGTTCAGACACTCAAAATAGCTTGTCTACTAAGTTTTGTGAAGTGATTCTTACATATCTTTCTAAATCTGTGGTTTTTGTATTTATACTTTCTTTTTGGGCCTCGGGGCCTAAGCCTACTTTTATCCCATTCCCCTTTTATTCATTCGGAGCCACTGACCTCCGTCTATTCGGCTTTCCTAATGTATTCGGCGTCCTAGTCACGCAACATGAAGACGAACAGTATCTAATTTCTGGGGTACGCATCTTCCGACTGTTCTACTTATTCAGCTCCCACAATTGCCCCCCAAGCACTTCACCGACGACAGTTGGCTGGAGTGCTTGGTTTTGAATTTCAAAAAGTCAGAGCCAAAATTCGGCAGTTGGCCTCATCCTCATGTGGATATCTAAGCGCATCCCTTTCGGTTGTCATGTCGACCTTCCGTCCCCTCGTACGTGTCTATTTATTGCGATTTAAAATTTTGATGTCCTTTCAAGTATGTATTTTATGACGCTCATCGTTGGATTGCCTTTTGAATCGTCCCTGAAACTCTCTTCTCCGATGTCCTCTTCGTCCTTTGTAAGTTCTCTCCTCCCTTGCTTCGAAGACTCTTTCTGGTTTATTCCTTCCTTGGCATATTCTCATAAACTGTAGGGCATGGCGAAACATTTAAAAGACCTCCTCTCGTCAGATCGAATTACTGCTTTAAATGCCATTTCTCCATTCCTGACGATGTCCGTCTGTCGCTTGTGGCAGACGGCACTCTTGATATGGAGAGGGAGGACAAAGCCACGATTGTCTTTCCTCTTTTGTCAATTGCAAAGGGTGGAGTCCGTTTCCCCCTTCACCCGTTTCTTAAGGCTGTGCTTCGCCATTGGGGTTTAATCCCTTCCCAACCTAATGTGAATTTCTTTAGAATCATAATGGGGGTTATAGCACTCAACCGTCGCCTAAGAATTAACCTTGGCATTCCAGTCATCCGACATTGTTATGCCTTGGCTAAGTCTTCTGGTCGGCACGGGCGTTTCTTCCTTAGGGCCAAGGATATCGACCATTAGCTGATTACTATGCTTTCCAGTTCTAGAAAACGAGTTGATGATGTTATGGTTGTTATCCAGGGTAACTGGGAATTTGGCAAAGGGGAGGATCACGTCGACCCTATTCATAGACGGAGGGGCAAGCCAGATGGCTGATTGCCTTCTCGCTTTTATTATTTGTTTGTTTTTGTTGTAAAGCCTCTTCTTTGAAATGTTACGGTCGGCTTGTGCAGGGTGCAATTTGAAGAAAGTTCTGTCTTCAACTGACGGCGCCGTTCTTTCGGATATCGAAGTCGCACTCAAATATTTCGGTCGTCGAAGTCTTCAGAAACAAGGCAAGGCGGCCCACATTCTGCTTCGTTGCGAGCCGACATATACAACCTTCTCAGCGGCAGAAAATATCCCGGTTCCGGAGGGTGAAGATTCTCTCATCGCTCTTATTTTGTCTGACTTCAAAAACTTAAGGCAGGTTGGTTTTGGCGGGTCCGATTCGGAGCGGGATGTAGCTAATGTTACCGAATCAGATCAATCCAAAACTGAGTCTAACGCAGTATTGAATTCGGCCGATCCCCCATCCACTTCGGGCCGAGGGGATCTTTCACTTGACGGCGTTTTTCACGACTTAGAGGATATTCCCACTGCAGACCCCGAAGACATGGCCGGGTTAAGCCTGACAAAACTTGCCAGGAAGGCGAATGCGGAAAGGTTGGCCGCGCGGCGAAGAGCAAAGGCCCTTCCGTCTGAAGTACCACCCGCCACCGAATCTCAATTCTCCTTGCCTGTTAGCGAATCAGAGTTCTTGCGCGTTGAGGTAGAGATGGCAAAAAATCAGGATGTTGAATCTACGTTGATCGTGCAGGCCGGCCAAGAAGTTGAGGCAGAGAAACGCCCTACCAGGTTTGAGGTCGGCTCAGAAGAACACGGTGGCAAACGTCCTCGATTAGAGGGATCGGATGTGATCGTTCCTTTTGTCATTCAGTCGATGATAAAAAAACATGCTGGTTTGTTCTGATGCTTCGGCGCTTAAAGATCCAAAAGTCGCATTCAGCTTGGCTACGTTCATGTCGTTGCCGTCTGACAATGAGGCTTTCCGGGTGGAAACAGATCTGAATGCAACAGCTCTAGCTGCCCAATCGGCACTTTTGGTACATATTCGAACTTAGCTTCATTTAATCCAAATACTGTTGAAGTTATGGTTTTGAATTCTTGTTTTGCAGACCGTCAGATGGATAGCTGATATGGGCCGTCGCCATGGCAACGCCGTCAAACAGATTTGGTCATTTACGCGAGGAAGTTGAAGGCCAGAGGAGAAGGGCCAAGGTCGAAACTTTGAGGGCGAACAAGGAAGCCTCAAGGGCCGACGCCGAGATAGAGAGGGCTCGTTGCGCGGATTAATTGAGATCGGATGCAGAGAAGAAGGTGGACGCGAGCGAAGATGCGTTCAAATTGGCCCAGAAGGCGATCTCCAAACTGGAGGCAGAGTTGGCTGAAATGAAGGCAGCAAAGGAAGCAGCCGACTCGGAGTCTTTCGAGGCCAGGAAAAATGCTGGATTCGCCGAGTACGTGGACCAAGTCCCCAAGTTTAAAAATCGGGGATTCAAACATGGCTGGCACAAAGCCTTTGCTGCTGCTAATGCTTCATTGATTATGCCAATACCATATGAGCAAGTGGATGTTGAGCCATTGGAGTCTGATTCTGATGGCTGATCCGGCCGACTGACATAGTTTTTAGGATGTCGAATGTATTTTTATAGTTTTTAATTTAGTATTTTTCATTTGTTGCTACAGTCATAGTTTTTTGCTAGGCATTTTTATGCGGGCTTGTAACTTTTTGTTTGGTAACTTGAGTATATAAAATTTTATAAGTTGTGCTCAACCGGCTAAGGAAAATGTTGATGAATGATGTTGCTTTCGGTTATGGTCAGATCGGCTGCTTAGCTTAGGTATTTGGCCGGTCAGTTTAGTAAATCTGCCCTTAGCCAGGGCGCGAGCTTGGGAAGCCGAGTGGGCGTAACTCGTGGGCTGGCTGAGGCACACATGGATCGGCACTTGCGCTTGAAAACATGGCCGACCAGATTAGTAAATCTATCCTTGCCTTAGCCAGGGCGCGGGCTTGGGAAGCTGAGTGGGCGTAACTCGTGGGCTAGCTAGGGCACCCATGGATCAGCGCTTGCGCTTGAAAACATGGCTGACCAGATTAGTAAATCTACCCTTGCCTTAGCCAGGGCGTGAGCTTGGGAAGCCAAGTGGGCGTAACTCGTAGGCTGGCTGAGGCACACATGGATCGGCGCTTGCGCTTGAAACATGGCCGACCAAATTAGTAAATCTGTCCTTGCCTTAGCCAGGGCGCGAGCTTGGGAAGTCGAGTGGGCGTAACTCGTGGGCTGGCTGAGGCACACATGGATCGGCGCTTGTGCTTGAAAACATGACCGACCAGATTAGTAAATATGCCCTTGCCTTAGCCAGGACGCGAGCTTGGGAAGCCGAGTGGACGTAACTCGTGGATTGGCTGAGTCACACATGGATCGGCGCTAGTGGGCGCAACTCATAGGCTGGCTGAGGCACACATGGATCGGCGCTAGCGCTTGAAAACATGGCCGACCAGATTAGTAAATCTTCCCTTGCCTTAGCCAGGGCGCGAGCTTGGGAAGCCAAGTGGGCGTAACTCGTGGGCTGGCTGAGGCACACATAGATCAACGCTAGCGCTTGAAAACATGGCCGACCAGATTAGTAAATCTGCCCTTGCCTTAGCTAGGGCGCAAGCTTGGGAAGCCGAGTGGGCGTAACTCGTGGGCTAGCTGAGGCACACATGGATCGGCGCTAGCGCTTGAAAACATGGCTGACCAGATTAGTAAATCTGCCATTGCCTTAGCCAGGGCGCGAGCTTGGGAAGCCGAATGGGCAGCACAGATAGAT